TTTCCCATCGAGTCGAGTTCCTTTGCCGGCCATTTCTTATGGCCATTTGGCTTTTTATTGACTCACAGCGCGACTCCTTTTGGGGGACCTTTTCTTTTTTTGCTGTGCTGGTACTTGGGATTTGTGCTGCTTGTCACGTGGCCAGATGTTGAACTTAAACGGTGCAGAACTCTTATTTTTTATTATTCTAGTTCACTAATTGGAGGCAACGCTGTACGTGTGCTTGAGGCAATTAAAATTGCTCACATCCGCACGTTCGTCCTCAAAGGCAATTAAACTGTTTTAATTAGTTTTAACGACAAGTATTTTGCACTCTCATTTGTCACCGGCCACTGGCCAAATTAGTGGAGTGCGAGGTGCTTGGGATGGAGATAAGTAAATTGTGGCAAGGGCTGTGGTCAAACTAATTGGAGCCTTGAATGCTTGGGTAGGCAAAGAAAAACACTTAATTAGTGTGGCATCCTAATGTAAACCTTAGAAGCGATTTCATTTCATATCATTTTCTCAGCTAAAACAACTTGATTGCTTGTATATACGTTTCAAATCTGTTTCCTTTACTTATGACATTTCAAGTTGAGATGCAATACTATTTTATAAGCTCATAGGAGTAACACAATTCATACAATTTTGGACTTCAGTTCTAGCTGTTTTAATGAGATTAAGCCCAGCAGAGCTCTACATAAGCTGTTACCCCGGCATTTAATATGAACTTAGTGCATCAAGAGTCTGACAAGCATAGGGATCCAATTGTTTAGCCTGAGTAAGCCAATTTCTCAGCCACATACGCTAAGAAATGAGGAACAATCGAGTTCAATATATTGAGAGTCAATTTCTAATGCTGCCATGTTCGTTCCTCACGGCCACCAGCCATGTATGTCATATCCTTATATATTATGGCTCCTTTCCACTTCCACACAGACTGTCTGTCATGTTTGTTTGCCCGTTGTCAAGTGTTTCTTATGCCGGTTGATATATATATTTATATATATAAATGTATATCGGCAACACAGGTCTCAGCTGCGTCTCAAACTTTCTCCTTCTTCGCCTGGATGTATGGGCCCTTCAGAAAAACATGTCAAGACACTTGTTGTCAATGAAAGATGTTCGAGTACCGATTTCATATTTTCCATTGCCCCTCGAAAGCTACTTCAAGATAAACCGTAAAGCACTGAGTTCAATTCCCCTCGAGAGGAAATTAATGTTTATTGCATTTTATTAGCCACATCTAAATGGGAATCTGCTTGATTTTTTTATGGCCTCCTCTAATCACAAAATGCTTCAAAATGCTCCATTTAACATGCTCAGATGAACACTCAAGGACTCTCCCAAAAAATATGGATATAAAAGCCAAAACACAGAAACTGTTCATGAAGTAGAACTCAAAAAAAGGTAAAAAACAATAAAGGACCACATGTTAGGCTGCCAGGACAACGAAGCGCAGGCCAGGAACACGTTTAAGTGGCCCAGAGAAGAACAATGTTGGCCAAAACGAGTGAGAGCCTGCAAAACAAATTAACAAAGCTAAGAGGATGGAAAAAATACACGAAATTCCCTGGGCTTCATAGATTCCACGAGTAGATGACGAGGACTTCGTCTATATACACCTTTATCAATATTCATCTCCTGCAGTGTCGGCACTGAAACATGGCAATTCAATCAGCGGAAACCCCACAACAACCAGCAGTCGAAGAGGAAAAAAGCCGAAAAAAACAACATATTTGCCAAATCAAAAACTGCACTCAAGCGTACAACACATTCCCCATACAGTTCTAGGCAACAACAATAAAATTTATTTTATAACCGCTGCACGTTGCCACGATGTACTGACCCCGTAGATGAAAATGCAAATAGTTACAAAACTTTTAGCCAAAAAGAAGCTCGAGACTCAAACGCATCAACAACAAAATTGTCTACTGACTTTCCACAGAGACGACAAAAAAAGTGTAAATGCAGAAATCGAAACATCAAATCGAGCGGAAACCATTGCCAAAAACGTCGAACAGTCAAAAAATAAAAACAAATGCTGTGCCAACACCAATACAAAGCTCTTCGATTCCAACCAAACTGATGGGAGCAGCCCTAAAATGTATAGTAAATGTAAATGGATAGTGTTTTGGCGACTGGGATCCTTTTAAACAACCGAGATTGCATGTAAAGTTACTGACTATGAACATAGGCGTAGGACATCCAAGGTTCCCAAAAGAAATGATGAAACGCAGCACAAGAAAAGCATGTGCCACTCATGATTCCAATGCAGTGGAGCAGAAATTCTTTTGCCTTGCCTAGTAAACTCGGTGCAATATTACATTTTTCACGCCAGTAAAAACAAATACAAATACAGCGAAGGCAAAGCTTGGACATGCTGATCAACTGGCCAAGCTTTAGAATGCCAGGAGTTAGCATGGTTTTTCTCCATTCGCTTTTCTTCATTTTCTTTTTGGCAATTTCCTTTTTGTCAGACAGCGGCATCCGGATGTGAGTTCGACGTGGTCACTCCCGAAAATTACTAAAATTATATATCCGTTTCCGGCTTAAGTTGGGTACCGGGTACCAACCATCCCCGCTTGTGCCCAATTTGGACAGGCATATCGAGTTATTTATTGGCACATTTTTCCCAGCTCGCCGGCAAAAATTGTGAAACATAATTTATGGCACATCGCGCATACGCCGCATTGCACGCATGTGGCTGTCTGATGGCCCGAATGTGAAACAGTTTTGAACCCATTGGCGTGGCCATTTTTCACTCCATATACGAGCCGACCAGTTGTAAGCCCTTAAGCCTAAGCAAGTCGATTTGCTGCCATCGAGCATCGAACTTGTAGGCCAATTGTCCAGGCAATCAGCAGGCAAATTGTCAAAGCAACTTATCTTCGCCCTAGGGTTCATGTACCGAAAGAAGTGCATACTTACAATGCACTTCGGATTTTTAATATTTTTTAAAAATTTAGTTAAGGCTTCTACCTAATTTTTAAAAATAGTTTTCTTACTGATGAACCGTTTTGAAAGTAACTTATTTCAAGCAGTAAAAAGCATTGAAGACCCAATTTTTCCAAGTGCCTCGTAGTCATTGCCAAAATGGTTACCCATTCGAGTCGAATGCATCACTTCTCCGTGCAAAGGACAAAAGAGCAGTTAAGTGGCAACTTTTCTTCCGGAGAATCTGGGCATGGGCGTAATCATGACGACAAATTGCCCGGCCGGAGGCAATAATGATTAATAATGAGGCAGCAGTAGCAGTTGCAGTTGCTATGCCGCCGGAAAACGGCCAAACTTTGTACTGCCGCTTGTGGCTTTATTAAAATAAATAACTCAGGCTAAGGCAGTTAAGACGAAGGTAATCGCGACACGACCCTTGCTGCCACTTCCGCTTCCGTTATGAATAATAAACTTGAACGGCGGTCAAAGTTTACCGATGCCCGGGAGCAAAGTTATAATTTGTCTAATTAAAAGTTTACCTGATTAACCTGGCGGCTAACAAGGTCAGTTGGTGAGTGCAAACAAAGCGTTTTGCCGGCCAAGATAGCTAAACAAATCAACGGGGTGGTGTACTCTCAAGCTACAAGTATGGGAAAATAGTAGCAGTTTAGCAACTTTGTGTCTCGTCCCTGAAATTGACCCAAAACCTGGGGTCACGTGACTTCTGTTTTTGTGGCACATATCAACCTAATGCACATTGTTTTGCAGCTTTCTCGTTTTCCTGTGCCATTTCACGTGCATTTTATTGCCAAAGTTTTTCCGGTCATGTCCTGTGGAGTTGTCATGTGCGGTAAACCAAGGAAATTGTTGTGCAAACTATTCGAGCTAAGAATGACAAAATTATGAGGGAAGTTGTTTTAAAATGATTTTATTTAGTTACCTAGCTCTGCTGAAAGCCTTCCGCATACAAGTACAATGTACTTTTTCATTCAACTATGAAAATATCTGCGCATAAACAATTTAAAAATTGTAATTGTATTTACGAAAGGTTGAGCTATGCTTATTTTTATTTGCAGGATGATCTATACAAATATAGTACATATTATATTCTATCAAGCATTATTAAAAAACAGATTGGTATTTAAATGTCTCGCTTCTCAATTGAATAATTTTGAAAACGTTCTAAAATTGGTGCTTAAAACGTGTGCCGATTGAGTTTACCATCAATTGAAAATAGCAGGGCATGGCGAGTGGTCTTTTCATTGGCATTTTTTGACTTTACTGTACTCAGTATTAGTTGCAGGAGATTTTCAGTTGCGAAATGTGATCTGCGAGTCCTTTGACCCCACGATTTCGAATTTTAGCAGCTGCGAGTTGGAATTCATTCGACGGGGCGTGGCTGCGTTCTGTATGGTTTGGAAACTATTCAAAGTGCCCATCAAAAACGTGCACATAAATGTGCCATTGTACAAAAATCAAACGGATATCGACCATTTCTCTTTAACCAGACCATGGATTTTTGATACTACATGCGGAATCCCCAAGCTCATCCATTGATGTATATGATGCACAAGGTTTTTATACAAACTTCCAACATAAATCACTCCTGTCCGTATGATGTAAGTATCTCACAAAATACCTAAAAAAAATAAAGTATCAAAATTAATAAGTAAATTTTGTTATATTTGTTATTAACAGCACGATTTGATAATAAATGAGTTTATGTACAACAAGAGCGACTTGAAAGATCTGCCCATACCGAATGTGGATTACATGATAAGTGTGAAAACGGTATTTGACAAGGAGTATCGAACATCCATAAAGATTTACGCAAACGGAAAGGCTTGACACTAAGTTGAATTGATACTTGAAATCTTTGTTGCACTTTTCATTTTCTGGAACGGACCAGTTAATCCACTGTATAAAAACGCAAATGAATAATAAATGTTCTTTTAACGGCTTAATATATTGAAATTTTCATTCCAAATCTCGGTCTGTATAATTAATTTTAAATTGTTTTTTAATTGCTGCCTCTAGTTCATTATAATATAGAACAATAAAGCCCCAAACTTCTATAGAACAGCATGGCGAAAAGGGTCGGCTTTTGCATTTTGTTCACTTTACTGTGGCCCATACTCATAAATGGACGATTTCATTTGAAAAACGTGGTCTGTGAGTCCTTGGACACTTCGTATTCGGACTTTAAACAGTGCGAAATGAAGGTCATTAGACGGGGCGTGTCTGCCTTTTATATGGTCTGGAAGATTTATTCGGTGCCAATTGCCAATGTCGATGTGAACTTGTCTCTCTTCAAAAGATCGAACGGATACCGCCCCTTTCTGTTCAATCAGAGCCTGGATTATTGCTACTATATGCGCAATCCTCTGGCTTATCCATTAATTAACATGGTACACGGGTCATTTTTAGCTACATCAAATATAAATCATTCCTGCCCTTATGACGTGAGTAGAAAATGAATGCCGTAATTATCAACTTCAAGAACTGCCTAACTATATACTTATTTTATTTCTCTTTGCACAGCATGACATGATCATTAAAGATTTGTTCTACCAAGAGAACGCTCTTCAGGATCTGCCCGTACCCAATGGTGATTATATGATACAAATAAAAGTGGCGATGGATAAGAAGTATCGTGCTTGTTTTAAGGTTCATGTAAGCAAAATTGACTAAAACGAAAGAATTTAAAAATATAAAAACTTATTTTTAAAACTAATGGAATGACCAGCGTTAGAAAGTGGATTGTATTTGCACACATGTAGTAAGTCGTGTAAAGAATTTATTTATTCTATACAACGCAATAAAATTATATTGATTATTTCAGCAAAAAAAATCATACACATTTTGATGAGCAATAATAAAGTAATTGAGAAAAACTTACATGGCTCACTGTAAAAATACATCTAACTGGGAATCTTTGTTTACGACAAATTACGCGGGCAGCTTAATTTAGTTATAATGGCAGTGAATTATCTATACGAAATAACATCGAATTGTCACCAAAACAGCAACACTCAATATGAAGTTTTTGGCCATAACTAACGTGTTTTTGACTGTACTGTTTCCTAGCGCACTAGGAGCTCATTTTCGGTTCACCAACGTTAAGTGCAAAAGTCTGGATCCTGAGTTTTCGGAGGTCAAGGAATGCTTTCTGAAGATGGTGCAACGAAATGTTGTGGGAATAAATTTTCACGTGGCCATTAAATACAGCCAACCCATTAATAAAGTTGAGTTCAACCTTAGTATATTTCGAAAATCAAATATGTACAGGTTGTTCTGGGTGAACCACACCATCGACTTTTGCTATTACATGCGCAAGCCACAGCAATATCCGATTTTCTATATGTTTCACGATTCCTTAATGGCAGCCACCAATGCCAATCACACGTGTCCATATACCGTAGGTACATATATGTACATATCTCCATTGCTTTTTGGTTAAGTATCGCCTTTTGTATGCCCACAGGAGAAGGATATCTATGTGAAAAGAATGACTTTCAACGATAAGACGGTGAAGGACCTGCTTTCCTTCCTACCTGATGGCGAATACAAGCTTGTAGTATCTGTTGGTGCTTTTGGAGTCTGGCGTTTACAGGTCAACGTGTTCGGTGTGCGTGATTAATAATGGGATTGTTGAAATAATAACCAAAACAGTTTAAAATGACGTATGTTTGGGATCGGGAAAATCAATTTTAATCAATCAAAGCAAACCAGCCGTTAAATCACACAATACGCGAGCAGTGTAATAATTTCCATCGATGAGACAACATGAAAGAGCTGCTATTGAGTTTAGTTGTCCCTATACTTATCATATTGGACTGGAGCCAGGGGAAGGTTTTCAGAGTCAGCAAGATGGAGTGTCGCTCCTTGGATCTATCGTTTACGTACTTTAAAACTTGTAAAGTGGTACACAGGGAAAATGGTCGAGCTGCTCTCTATGTTAATGAGGTGTTCCTCTACGAAAATCCAATTGATGATATTGTTGTAAGTTGGAAAATAAACATTCTGAAAATTAAAAAAAAATAATTACGTATTTTCTAGCTTAACCTGGGAGTTTTTAAAATAGCTAAAAATCGTCGTTTTCAGTTCCTGAATGAGACTTTGGACTACTGTCTTTTTAGTCGGCAGTATTTGACCAGCGGATTTTTCGGATTTCTAATGACTCCACTGTTGAGAATCTCTAACGTGAATGCTACATGTCCGCTTCAGGTGAGATCCAATGGGGTGACGATAGATTTTTGTCATTGATCATTGTCATTGGTATAACCAAATATAGCAAAATATAACTTTCAATGGCTTTCCTGTTGACGAAAACACGTTAAAAGAGATTCCAATTCCAAACGGTGTTTATATGTTCCACTTGCGAGCATCCATGATGAAAAAATGGAGGACAGACGTGAAAGTCTATGCTACTAGAGTTAATAAGTATACTGAATAACTGTTGAATTTGTTTACTTTATATCTCCAACATTGTAACTACATCCTAAAATTATTAAATAGAGTATTAAATATTTGACACAACATGGGTATTCGTACTATGCAAAATGTACATTGAATTTACATATAATGTAGTATACATTTGTGAAAGCAAGTTCCATACGCTCTGCTAGATAACAGCACTGTTCTCTGTTACTTACCGGCTGTAAGCCAGAATGTTACTTTTAACATTAAGCAATAGGGAAGCGATATTTAAAACAATACGATAAGTAAGACATTGTAAAGTAAGTCTATCAAAAGTTGGCAAGTGCCAGATAATAAATTTCATTAAGTATAATTACATGTGCAATGCAAACGATAGTGGTAAAAAACAAGCGATAGTAATCGACACAAGAGTGACCGTTCGTTTTACGTGGTAGGATTAAGTGTAATTTCGTCTGGTCACCCTTCGTGCTGCTCTCTTTCTTTTCGCAAACGTGAGCAAAGCCGTAAGTACAAAATGTGAGCTCCGCAAAAACTTTGAAAAAAGACATGGTAATATGCAAAAGGAAGAACAAATTCGCCTGCTTAGCTGTGCATCGACTGTTGTCGTGATGAATATTTCAAAGTTTTAGCTAAATGGACTGCAGATGGTGTAGATGCGCAGAGATTACCGATCCTAACCTAACTTTTGCCTTGCAGTGCTCGGTTGAATTGTCGGAACCATGGTGAACGGCCGCATACCCTCGGTCTTCTCGAAGACCTACGTGACTCCCCGTCGCCCCTATGAGAAGGCGCGTCTGGACCAGGAGTTGAAGATCATCGGCGAGTATGGTCTGCGCAACAAGCGTGAGGTGTGGCGCGTCAAGTACGCCCTGGCCAAGATCCGTAAGGCCGCCCGTGAGCTGCTGACCCTCGACGAGAAGGACGAGAAGCGTCTGTTCCAGGGTAAGTACCTTGCAGACGCGTACGGTCGAACCTCCCCAACCAACACCCTCTTAGTTTCCGGCTTTCGAGCCACTTCTAAACTTAGATAATTGCCGGTTCTTATATGCTAGAACAATATATAGCACTCAAATATTTCTATATGTTTCTTTGATTCGATCTATTTCATTGTTTATTACAAAGTTGTATGTTTAAATGTCTAGGCAGGAGGTGAATACTAAGGAAGTTCGACTCATTAATCCAATAATCGCGCTGACCTGATGAACTGTATTAAAAAATATATTCTGACACTTCTTGTCTGAAAAAAACGTTGACGTTAACAAATACACACTGAAGACAATTCACTGCTAGATCTTTCTATTGCTTTTTGGAAGTTCTATTAATTGTGTACCCATTTTACCCACAGGTAATGCCCTGCTGCGCCGTCTGGTCCGTATCGGTGTCCTGGACGAGTCCCGCATGAAGCTCGATTACGTGCTCGGTCTGAAGATTGAGGACTTCTTGGAGCGCCGTCTGCAGACGCAGGTGTTCAAGCTGGGACTTGCCAAGTCCATCCATCACGCCCGCGTCCTGATCCGCCAGCGTCACATTCGGTAAATATCGCTTGGACAAGCGACGACAGCGTCGCCAGGCTCTCTCAGATATAACTCTGTTTTGTTCAGTAAGACCACTTGGGAGTCGAACAGGCTCCAATGCTTGCACCGGCTCTCAACGTCTTTAGATTGCGCATGTGACTCCGTTCACTCCAATCGAAAATGCAAAATGCCCGCCTAGCGTAAGTTGCACTGAACGTTTTTCTTTGTTGAACCATAATACAGCAGCCACCACGCGATGGTGTTCTTAAAGCATGGCCTAACTGATCCAAATATGGTATTCTTTCTGTTCTCACAGTGTCCGCAAGCAGGTGGTCAACATCCCGTCGTTCGTCGTGCGCCTGGACTCCCAGAAGCACATCGACTTCTCCCTGAAGTCGCCCTTCGGCGGCGGCCGTCCCGGTCGCGTCAAGAGGAAGAACCTGAAGAAGAACCAGGGCGGTGGCGGTGGAGCTGCTGAAGAGGAGGAGGACTAAGCAGTGGTAGCCAGCTGCAGCCAAAAGAAATACAAGGCGCAGACTTTTGATAAAAATCTGTTTTACACAAATAAATGTAAACTATCCTAACGTTGAATGTGTTTTAATGCGCATATGTTTATGGTAGGGACCAAGGATATAACCCAAGCATAAACGATAACTCAAATGCACAATTATTTTAAACATTTGAGTGAACTGCAGTTGCTTAAACTACTTTTTCAAACAAGTAAGGCGCTCGTAAAATTTAAATTTCTCGATAACCGGACAGGGCTGTAATTCCAGGGTATCGATAAGCAGCGATCAGCTGTGCGGTGTTTACGTTTCATTTGTTGTTTTGTGTGAAAATGTCTTCGAAAAGAACTCGGGGAAAAAACTTTACAGAACAGGAAGAACATGCTCTGGTTGATCTCGTGCTCCTGAACAAGGCTATTCTGCAGGACAAGAAGAAGGACGCCGCCACTTGGCGAAGAAAAGCCGAAACGTGGGAGCGACTGACCAAGGAATTTCAGGCGCAAACGGGAACGGATCGATCGTGCGCTGCACTTCGCGAAAAGTACGATAATATGAAGAAAAACTTGCGGAATAAGTACAGAGGAGTTAAGCACTGGAAGAAAGAAAAGGAGCTCCATTCCGCTGTTAATTCCGAGTGCCACAGCTCCACCATGTCGCAGAACAACGCCGGCCACACAGGAATCCCTGCCAGTCCACTGGAAAACCAGTTTGATAGTGACGGTAAGTGGAGTTCATGTGTAAAACGCTGCTACAAAGATCCCACTTATCAAGAGGGTTTTGTTTGTGGAAAAAGCCACGTTAAACGATGACAGGAGGTAGTGCAAAAACAGTAAACTTTCAGAATTTTGGTTTTTAACAATATTAATGGTGCACTTTTGATTCCAGGAAATTTCCAATTACTGAATGCAGCCAAAGAAGAAAATCCTTCAATCAGCTCTTATAGCTCCCAAATGGTGCAAGTACGTACAAGTATTTCTCTTACTTCTTGTATTCAAGAGTTCAAGTTTTTTAAGGAAAACATTGATGATATCGAGGAAACCGAATCCGTAGAGTATTCCCAAAGATGGAATTGCAGCTCCCCTGCAACGCCGATGGGCAAAAGATCAACTCGCGTTGAGGATGAGCAGGTGGAATTGTTTAGGTTACAGCAGCAATATTATAAAGACCAAAATGTAAGAGCCGCTGAGAAGCACAAATATGAAGTGGAGAGGGAACTAATAGAACTACAAACGGCTCGAATAAAAAACCAGTTAATTGAAATGGAAATTGAATTGAAGCGCGAAGAATTGGCTAAATTGAGGCAAAGGTCTGTAATTTATTAATAATAATTATTTAATTTATAATTATAAATATTTAATAATTTAATAATAATTTTACAAATGGCTGATGTCTCTTTTTCTTGTTAAAGCATCTGCATTAAACATATAAGATTGTATATAGCTTAAACAAATTCGCCAACGTTTTAAAGAAGGGCATACAACCGTATAAATGCTATATAATTTAAAGTCCTCGGATAATCTCTATACTGGCCACTATTAAGTATTAAGCAATCATTAAACATTTATATCCATAAATATTTGGTATCCCATCACATTCACAAACCAAGCCGGTAAAATTTTATTAAGATTGTACATATTAGAAAGTAAGTTCTTATCCGTTTTTAAAAAGTAAGGTGTAACAAATACAAAAAATAATATAAGGCAGATAGTGTTGCTATTTTCAATCGTATTGTATAGTTGCTACTTCGAATAAAATTAATACGCTTAAATATTTTGTAACATCAAAGTAAACAAAGTTGAATTTGAATTATCAGTGTGCCCGGAACAGTGAGCTAGCGAAATCCTGCCGTTATCGATTTTGTACTCGTTATTTATTGAGCTTTCGTGTGCTTTGCCAGCAAACTGCCATTCACACAAAGCGTACGTTTGAAAATCACTCGAGATTCGGGTAAACACAAACTCCAAGTGCCGAGGAAGAACAGCAGCCGGAAGTAAACCGCGGATAAATAGTGGATAAGCAAGTGTCGCCGAGATGCCGAAACCCGGTGACAAGGCGAAGGTGAAGGTGAACGTCAAGGAGCGGGTGGTGGACGAGTCCTGCGACTTGAGTCTCTCGGAACTGAGCGAAATACCGGTGCGGGAGATCGTAAGTACAAGCTGGAAATACAAGTGATTAGCGCCGATTCTTGGTGTCTCTGTTCTACCTACATCTGCATCTGCATCGGCTCCCCCTCCCATCAGCCCTCTCGCTTCCTCTTGGGGCCACGTTCGTTGTCTGGCGTGTGTCTAGTCACTGTCTGTCTCGCTTGCACAAGTGCCGGGTGGTGGGGGTGCTGTTTGGCTTGGAGAAGGAGAGATCCACGTACTCTGCACCACCCCATCTAGTTATTGTTGCTTTGCCGGCTGGCTTGCAATTAACGCTGACGTCGACTTCCGCACACACTCCCCCTTAACCCTTGTGTGGCTGCGAATGCAGTCGAATTCGCTCGAGGGGGTTGATTTTTGGTCTTTGCCACCCCTCAAAAACTCAGAAGTTTGCCAAAAAAAGAAAAACAACTATGGTAGCTAGAGTAGAGTGTCACGACTTCTAGATACCGAGTACTAATTATTATCTTGTAAAGAGTTCTGAAAGCGACTATTAAGCAATAGATACTTGATTTTAATTTTATAATTCTTAATTATTACTTTTATTGGTATCACCCATCATCGGAATTACCCTCAACGGATAATTTTATGATATGATCATAGAGATTAGCCGTTCAACAGCATACCCCAAATTTTCTCAACAATTAAGGGGTGTAAATTATAAGAAAGGGTCTTTCCAGGCACTTACATATTTCGGGGGTTTCTTTTTTCGGTCATGTTTTGCCACTGGTTCTCAGTTCAGTTTGTCCTTGTGCTTTGCAGGCTTCGTTCAAGCGCGTCACTGTTTTGGATCTCTCCAGCAATCGCCTGGTAAACCTGGGAGTAAGTAGTCGCACCACATCTAGCCACCTAGCACACACGTTCTAAATGCCACTTTTTCGGGCTCTCCTATCGCATTAGAAAAACTTTTCTATTCTCACACGATTGGTGCGCCTGGATCTAAGCAAGAATCAAATAAAATTCCTGCCGGAGGACTTTGGCCAGCTGGAGCAGTTGCGCCACTTGGACTTGTACAACAATTGCTTGGAGCACCTGCCCATTAGCTTCGGTCAGCTGCGTCGTTTGCGGTACTTGGATCTGAAGGGGAATCCACTGACGCCCGCCTGGGAGAAGATTGTGGGTTGCTGCTCCACGCAAAAGGACTGCCAGCAGGCGGCCAAGAACACAGTAAGTGGCCCTCAACTTGAGTGGCCCTCGAGTGACACAGCTTTGGGCTCCATCTAACTTTTCCCCATTTTTCCCCCCGTTTTCCAGGTCAGCATCTGCGCCAACTACAAGCCGGAATTCATTGAACGCGAACGTTTGGCCGCCCAAGAGAGCCAGAAAATGGCCGGAGCCGGGGATTCTAGTGCCAATGCCGTCCAAACGAACGGCGGTGCAGCCGGCGGAAAGAAGTCTACGAAACCCAATAATAAGAAAGCTAAAGCCAAAAAACTCGCCGCTGGGGGAGACAATGAGCTGACAATCAAACCAGTGAATGCAGTAGGATCAGGAGGAACAGCAACCGCATTAGGAACCAAATCAACTCAAAAGAACAATCAAAAGAAAAAGAACTCGAAAGGCGATTCCTGGTTGAATCTACTGTCGAGAGCTGCCCTATCATCGCTGGTCACCTTTCTGGTTCTATTCATCATCAACTTGTTAATCATCTACATGATCATGTTCAAGAATCCGGACATCGCCGACAAGCTTGTAGAGTACATACCACACCAGTATCGCGATTGGATCCTGACCAAAACGGAGATCTTCCGGCTGCGTGTTACCGACTGGATCTCGGAGTTCCGGACACCGCCGGAGGAACACTGACGGTTCATTTATTTGAAGCCTTAGAGCGCTGGGCTTCAAATACAATAAATCGCCTAAACAATCTCGGATGCATAGCGCGTGTGTGGAAAAATTAAAATTGAGATACGTGTAGACCACCTGAACGAGTTATACGACTGCTACTTTGATATACCATTATCTGTAATTTACTGCCATTTACTTTGATAGACACTAAGCCACTACGTCCATTGAAGCGAGATTTTAACATGAAAAACCACACGTACTCCGCAACTAAAGAGGCCACTTAAAAGACACCGAACTACACTCAATCACTCAGCTCAATCGAACTCAGATGTATCTACAGCTAACCTAACCATAGCTCAAGCTCAACTCAATAGTAACTGAATGGCGGTTCCAAACTGGCCAAAGCATAGAAACTACAGACACAGTCAGACCAGACATCCTCGTAATATTCACATCTATCAGGTCAGATCGGATAAAATCGAATCGAATCAACTCACCTACAAATAAAATACATGAATCGTGTGCAATTCCCATCTTATTTATTCGCCTGACCATTTAACATTTGTAGATTTCAAATCACATAGGTTTTATTGTAATACGCAAAGGAAATGTATACCACCATTAGTGGAATTTGCAGATAATCAAAATGAAACTCAAACGGTTTCATATGGTTTATGCGAAATCAAAATAATTGAATTGTAATGAAATATTTGGAAGATTTTTGGAATAAAAACTTACATTTAAGCAATTGTGTTTGTTCGGTTTACTTCCTTTCTAGTTTTTAGTGTTATTTTATTTAATACTCGAACTAAATTTATGATTTAACTATTTGCGGGAAAAATCTAACAATTTGATTAGATTAATTAACAATTTCCCAGGAAATCGTTAATAAAAATAATTTCAATGGAGATTGTGTATAATTCATGCTTATCTATTCACTTAGTCTGCTAGCTATATTACATTTATGGCCCTCCATTGGGCACGCGAGTCCTTATCATATACATAGTTTATAAATATATTATTCGGCTCGACCATATATTTTTATTTTTAGAAATCCCATAGCCAAAATCAAACAGTTACGACTGAAGGAACCTTAGAATTTAAAAATAATATCTATCTATCCCTCAATGATAATAAATCCATGTTAGGAAGTTAGTAACTTGTTCATCAATCAATACAAAATTCTTAGAGCTCCCTAATCTTTGATTTATAAGGACTGATATGATACACCTTAATTCTGCCAGCCCATGCTGATATTTTAAAAGGGCATCCGCAAATAATATCATTTGTCTTCTTCGCTGTTTATACGGATGATAAGTGGTAAATGACTTGCGAAAACAGACAGGTAAATTTCATCAATAGAAAGTAGTAGAACGATGACATCAATGAGCAGCGGGTGGAAATTATTATTGAACTTCGTGAGAGAGCAAAAACGTGGATAAATTTAAAGACGTAAACACTGTATTTGCTTTGCAGAATTTCAACGGAACCTAAACCTAATTTCTGATGCAATGATGTTTATAAATTTCTTGCAAGGATCTCTGCCCTTCTACCCGCACTCCAATTTTAAAGTTTCGTGTTTCCGGCGAGTCTGCAACTATAGAGAGTGCCACGCTTATGACAGTTCGACTTGGATTTCGTCATCCAAAAGGAGGAAAAGATTGTTGCTCTTAAGGATAAGGATTTGCTGAATATACATACTTCTCTCGCTTGCTCTTCTTAAATTCAGCGCCTCCTGCCGCTGTCCTTGTCGTCCTTGTTTCTCTTCCCGCTTGTCTCTTTCTCTCTCTTCGAATTTACAAGCTCTGCTGTTTTGGCGGGAAAGAGCCAAATCTGATTTATAATTTCCTAATAAACAATTTTCTGAAACTAAGCATTAACAATAGGATACAAGCTTGTCCAACCTTATTGTTTCGTAGGGACAATTTCCTAAAAGTGAAAATAATTTAAGATTTGTAGCTATTTTAAAAAACAAACATTATATATGATTTTGTTTTTTTTTTTACTTAAGTTAAAATAAAATAAACTTTATTGAACTGCTCATTAAAATAATATTTTTTTAAACAAATATGTACAATCTCTAGATATTCTAAAATATGCTTTGCCAAATATAAAATAGCTAAATAGCCATCACTGCTGGCGTAAATGTATATAAGCCGCCTCTGTATATACAGATAAAGTAGTTGCTTTTTGGTCTTCGCGCTGTTCACACCGGTTTTTGTGCCGTGGGAGGTAGCTTCGATTTTTTTACTGCCTGAACTGTTATTATTGCACCGTTTATTCGGCAAAAGGCGATCCACCATCGACCGGTAGGAGAAGTGTTTGATTTTCGCGGCATTTTCATCAGCTCTCTTGCAAAAGAAGGTACAAATAAGTAAGCAGTACAGTCGTCG